GGTCTCTTGTGTCTTCTGGGGGCCCAGTGAGTCTGCTCGAGCATCATCAACCGCTCACCCTGTAAGAAGATCATGTAGTTCGTCTGGTTGACTATCACGAATAGAGCTTTGGTCATGGCATCATCACCTGAAGGGACGGGGATCTCCTAATATGTATTGGGTTCGTAATTCTGTGAAGGATGATAGTCGTCCTCACGCGGTTGCAAAAGGGTTAAAGAAGAGGCGGTCAATCTGTCTCTGTAGTCTTGCTCGGGACTGGCCATGTCGTTATTGTTGCCCGTGTTGTTATTGTCACCAACGTTGTTGTTGTTGGGGTCGGCAAGATGGACGTTTTGGTTATCATCGACGGCTTAGTCAGCCATGACAATCATAAGATTTGATAAAGAGTTTCTTTTGTCTTGAGATGGAGACGGGGAAGCTGGATTCCCACAGACAGTGCCACTGACCGTACCTGATTAAAAGGGATTGTCAAAGCCCACAAGCTTCAAGTCGAGTGGCAGTTGGATGTGAAGTGGGGGGGGGGGGGGGTACCTACAAGATACCTCGATGCCATAGTAAGGTTCATAGAAAATGAAACAAGAATGAGAGTGAGTGATTGAATACTTGGCCCTCTCAAGTAAGAGGGTATTTATAGCCCCCAGCGATGGGCCAAGGTCTTCAATGATAGGCCACGATGAGGCCTAATAATAAAGACTTCTAGGGTTTACGGGTGTATGGAGTCCCAACACATGGCCTCATCCTTGGTCAATTGCCCCTAGAAAGCAGAGGAGTTGGACTCGTTATTCTCGGAGGGCAGGATGATGATGATATGGACACGTAGGCCATGTTCTCCTAGTGGACACGTGGGGAAATTCCCAACAGTCCTCAGTTTTGGCTGCATGCTTTTGGGCCTTTGGTAAAGGCGCTGGATTGGGCCTCCCCAACGGTGGGGCAAGTGTCGGCCCAGTCCAGAACAATTATTATTTGATAAAGAACATGTTCATATTCTTTTGATAAAAACAAATCTTTCAATTGTAAGGGGATTGGTAAATATATCATCCCATTAATGATCAATATCAATGAATTGAATATCTATTACACCCTTCTGAACATAATCTCCAATAAAGTGATGTTTTATTTCAATGTGCTTGATTCTAGAATGTTAAATTAGATTCTTTGTTTAACAGATAGCGACAATATTGTTTCCACAAATATGATAGTCCTATAGCAATCATTTCATCCAGAGTAGTTGTGTACAACATTTAGTAGCTGAGATGTATTTTTCTTCTATAGTAGAAAGAGAAATATTTGTTTTTCTTTTACTAGCCGAGAGCATTAGGTTTTCACCAATTAATTGACAGTTTCCACTAGTGTATTCCTCTCAATTCTATCCCCAACATAGTTAGCATCACAAAATCCAACTAGCTTATAATCTAAGGATTTTTTTATAAAGAAGCCCTAGATTTGTTGTTCCTTTAGATACCTAAAGATTCTCTTAACAATAGCTAAGTGAGCTTCTCTAGGATCTGATTGAAATCTTGCATACAATAATACCTCAATATAGCTTCTGATTCACTTTAGTGCTACTCTCCCCCTTGTTCAAATTGCAAGTTGGATGCATAGGAGTTTCCATAATCTTACAGTCCTCGTGATTAAACTTCTTTGGAAACTCTTTTGTGTACTTTGATTGATGATCATATATTCCATATTTGCTTTGGTTGATCTGAATTCCAAGTAAGAACTTCAATTCTCCCATCATTCTCATCTCAAACTCAGTCTGCATAGACTAAAAAAAATTCATGCAAAGAGAGGCATTAGTAGAACCAAAAATTATGTCATAAACATAAACTTGGACAATTAAGATATCCTTATTCAGAGTCTTTCTGAATAGTCTAGTGGCAACCTGACTTTTTTTAAAAACAATTTTATATCAAGAAATTTCACAATCTCTCATACCAAGCTCTTGGAGCTTGTTGAATTCCATAGAGTTATTTCATAGGTTTAAAAACAAAGTCTGGATGGACAGAATCCTCAAACCCATGAGGTTGTTTGACATACACTTATTCAAAAATGACCCTATTTAAGAAAGCACTCTTAACATCTATTTTGATCCAAAAATGTTTATTTGAAATCAATAGAATCCATAGCTATAATTTTTCTATCGTGGCCTCTTCCAAATTCCACACATCCTTCCTTTTTCAGATTCAAGATTTGGAATGTATGTCTTTCTTCTTTCATATGTTGTAACCAGCCATTGTCCAGGTACTATGATTGTTGCTTTGTTTCTTCCTTTAGGAATTTCTGTAGAAAACACAATTTCAAATTTAGGTACCCATAATCTTATGGGTCCTCTAGTGTTAGTTTTGTCATACTTCCTTTTATTTTTAGTTATTGCCTGATAAAAAGGTATAGACTTATTCCATACTTTTTGTCTATAAAAGTTTTGCCTTGGATACGTCTTGGCTTTAGTTTTTGAACCCTTCAGAACCTTTGATCCATAAGTCTTGGGTAGAACCTTTGACTTAGAATTTTTGGGTTCTGGTTTCTTCTGAACCTTTGATTGTTGAATATTAGGTATTGATTTCTTCATATCCTTTGACTTTGAATTCCCAAGAACTGACATGTTTAGGACCTTTGATTCAGTTATATCAGGTTCTAATTGGTTCAGATTCTTACCTTTATCAAAAGTAGGCACAAAAAAAGTTTACAACACTGTTTGAGCACCGCTTGAAGAAGAAGGGTCTGAGGGTTTCTTTAGAAGTTGAACTTTGGAGCATTCTTCATTGTAACCCAGACCTTCTACTTTTATCTTACTCTTTCCGTAGATCATGGAATCAAGTTTAGTTCTTTCAAGACCTATTTTGATAAAGTTTTGAAGAGCCATCTCATGCTCATTCAATGTTTTATCAGGAACTTTATTTAAGAGAGCATTATGATCTTTTTTGAGAGACTCAAATTTATCTTGAGACATTTTTAATTCCTCTTTCAAATGATTATGATCTCTCTTTAAAATTTTCTTGTGTCTTTCTTTATCTTTGAAATGACTCACGAGGTCTTGAATGACAATAGTAAGATCAGAACGAGATAAGTTAGAAAATACCTCCTCTTCATCTTCTGATTCTGAACTAGAGCTGGATTCAGATTTTGTGTCAGATGATGTGAGAGCAATCAGTGCTATATTTGTTTCTCCTTCATCTTTATCTGAATTGTCTTCATTGTCAAATTCATCCCATGTTTCCATGAAAATCTTCTTGAATTTACTTTTGAAGTCGTCAATCTAGAAGCTTCCTTTCTTTGGTCCGTCCTTGTGCATATCACGACAATCAACTTTGAAATAACCAAGCTTATTGTAGTTGAAGCAGTTCTTCTAGTCATCATCTTAGTCTCTAGAACTAAAGCCTCTTAAGCCATTGCTTTTACCAGAGAATATCTTGTTACTTTTAGAAAGTTGTTGAAACCTTTTGATGATAAAGGCAATTTCCTCCTCATCACCATCATAACCTTCTTCATTATAAGCTTATTTTAATTTGCATACTCTTGAGGATCTGGAAGCTTTACAACCAGGTTTCTCAGCTGCTGATTTTAAAAGTAGTGATTTAGGTTTCTTCACAGATTCATCTTGATTTAGTTCTATCTCATGGCTCTGAAGGTTACTTATCATGCTTTAAAGACTCAGTATTTAT